GCCTCACCTTTTGTTTTTACCACATGTTTGAGTGGAACAATACTGTAAACACTGGTAACCCACAGCACAACAAGGTCACCTTCACTCTCTAAAGCTCCTCTAACAAGCTGTGAGATGACACCTGTGAGCTCTGGGCAACATGAGACTCCGGAGATACCATATTTCTGCACTTCAGAGAACTGCAGTAACATGTTTTGAGTTGACTGAAATGAAAATTGTTCCTTCAACAAAAAGCTGTGAAATTGCTTATTTTATTTCCAATGTTGACAATATACTATATCTGGAATTCTGTTTCTCAGTATAAATCCCATTTCCGATTACCCGCAGTAGTGACATTTAATTTCTCTTTTCTGCGTAAACTTCAAAACCTTCTCCCAAGGCATTGACTTAACTATTGCCACTGCTTTAACCATCTTCGGTGTCATTTGCAAAGACTTAAAAAAACACCTTTACAAAACATGTGCATAATTCTCATTGCATTCAGAAATGTTTGCATTCCCTCATAATGATGTCTCCAAAATAAATTATTTACATATTATTCGTATAGTTACATACATTTAATTAACGTACTGTACGTGGTTATGCTTCTTATCAGAAGGTCCACCTCAGGATAATGGATGTCTGGGTGTAATGACACCATATATAGGCAGAACAGACTAAAACACAAGGGTGACAGAGCGAGAGAGAGGGACTATGTGGAGTAATGCAGGAAAGACAGTGTCTGTTCAGGAGAATATGAAATCTAATTTAAAGCTATATTATTAAATTGTGTAATAATATATTACTCACTATTGTTGTCCTTCAGGCTCTGAGACTAAGATTTTTCATATTTCATTTGATAACAGCATCTTCCCTCAAGGAATGACTCCACATTTAGATAAGCCACTCATGCTGCGTACCAGCTTTCAGAAGATGGATCTCAGCTATTTATATTCGCTTTTCGATCTTTTGAATCCATACGCAAGCTAGAAGCCTTGTAGTTAGAAGTTTTCTGTGAATACCATGTGCAAATCATTACCTTCTTTAGTTCCTTCTTCCCTGACTGTTTGCACATGCATTTAGCATGTTCGTCACATGTTCACTGTTTGTTTGCACATTGGCTTTCATGTTTTGTTACATGACCCATATCTTTGGCTTATACACTTGCATGTTATGCACAATGTGCATATACACTATGCACATTGCCCTTTATGTACCCTGTTCCCTGTCAGAAATGTCTATGTCTACATTGTCTATAGCATTGTCTTGTCGGTGTCTGTCTCTATTCGCACCATAAACCTAGAGAACGATATCTCGCTCCTCTGTATACTTGTATATGGCTAGACTGACAAATGAACTTGAACTTGAACTTCAAATCACACTAGAATCTTTTGCAAATTAGCCCCTTTATACAGTAACTTAATTCCAGTAGGCTCTGGGCTCCTGATGTCCTTAAGCCTCAAAAGATGTTGAATTTTAATTGACCCAGATGGATCTATGAAGGTGAAAAACTCTTCCAGATTTTGTTGTCTCCTTGGGTCACCATAGATATAGATATAGATATAGATATAGATGTTCATAATTTGTGCACTCAGCTGTATTTATTGCACTCTAAGTGATGCCTACAGCCATTTCCAAATATACAGTTTCTCCATT